GCCTGGGCATGTGCCCTTGACTGGAATCGAACCTGGGACCCTTCAGTCTGCAGGCCAATGTTGTATCCACTGAGCCAAACCAGCTAGGGCGAGTGTCTTCTTTTTTAAAAATATTTTTATTGACTTTAGAGAGGAAGGGAGAGAGAGGGAGAGAGATAGAAACTGCCAGGGTTCTTGTTCCAGCATTAAGAAGGGTTCAGGAATCTGGAGAAGGCTGTGTGTAACTTAAATAAGAGTCCAGAGATGAAGCATAATTTTGAAAGGCATTTGGGGGTCAGAGGGGCTTAACTAAAAGGAACTGGTTTGATCACTCTAACAGGAGGGGGGATTCGCCAACACAGGGGCTGGGTAGGCTTCCAGAGTTGGACTTTGTAGGGTATCGTTGCCTGGCCTGTTCTCTGGTGTTGGAGAGATTAAAACCTCATATTCCTGTGTGTGTTTGTTTTTCAAAATACAATCAAACGTTTATTTAGAAAGTCGCAGAGGTAAAAGAAGTGAGCTAAGAAATGAGCCAGCTGGGCTGTGTGGGCTCAGGAAACACGTTACAGAAGCAAAAGAAGGGCCCTTGGGACTTAGGAGAAAGAAAGCAAGGATATACCTGCCCGGGGTAGGGAGAGGGGGGGAAAGGCTCCAGGGACAGGGCGCTGGGAAAAGAGGGCGGGAAGGCGCAGGGGTGCTTGAGAGTGAAAGCTGCAAAACCTCATATTCTTTGTATTTTTAAAAAATCCTCACCTTTTAGAGAGAGTGGAAGGGAGGGAGGGAGGAGAGAGAGTGAAATGTCCATGTGAGAGAACACATCCCTTCATTGCCTCTCACAAGCACCCTGACCTGAGCCAGGGATTGAGCCTGCAACCGAGGTACACGCCCTTAACCAGGAATGGAAACTCAGACCCTTCGGTCTGTGGGCTGACACTCTAACCACTGAACCAAACCAGCGAGGGCAAAACCTCCTATTCTTGCCCTGGTGGGGTGGATCAGTTGGTAGGAGCATCATCCTATACACCAAAAGGTTTGATCTATGGTTGGGGTGTATGGGAGACAATGTTTTGCTCTCACATCGATGTTTCTCTCTCTCTTCCTCTCTCTTGTCTCAAAAAAAAATCAATGAAAACATATCCTCTGGTAAGAATTTAAAAAAAACACACAACACTTCGCCCAGCTGATGGTGTGGCTCAATAGCTGAGCATCAGGGTATGAACCAGGGGCCATGATGGATTCCCGGTCATGGTACATGCCCCACTTACAGGCTTGGTCCCCAGTTGGGGCGTCCTGGGACAGCCAATCCATGTTTCTATCTCTCTATCCCTCTCCCTTACTTTCTCTCTAAAAATCAATAAAATCATATTTACATAAATGAATGAATAAAAAAAATCTATAAAAAGCATATCTTCCTGTGAGGGGATTTTTTAAAAAGGGGGGAGGGGCGGGGGAATCCTGTCCTGGGAAGGTGTGGGTTGCTCCCCGGCTGCCACCACTGCAGGCAAGCAGCTGCTTTGCCCACATATGTAAGCTTCTCCTCTTCAAGCTATTGTGAATTTGAATACGGCTACATGTCAGTTCTTCAGAACTGACCCATCCCATGAGTGGGCTCACAGTGGATATCTGCATCTCTAACCGGGTGCTGGGGGCAGACTGGAGTATCTTGGTTTTCACTCCTGCAGGGAATGTGGCCCCAATCAGGGCCCTCAAAAATGGGGGTGTAGATGGCCTGTAGCATTCTCAGATCCCTAGGAATTTGTGCTTCCTCCTCTATAGATCTCTAGGGTCGCACTGTTACCGATTCAAAGTTCATGCACCCGATGCTTCAAAAAAGGCCAATATTCAAAACATCAGAGCTTGGAGGAAGAAAAGGTTTACTGATCAAGAAGGCGCCAGCTGGAGAAGAGGGGGCCTTAAAGCTCCCACGAATCCATCTCACGAGAGCCCAGAATTCAGGCTTATTTCGTGTCAAGGGAAGGGAGAACAGGCGAGAGGTGTTGACACCTGGGCTCCCACAGGGACCCAAGGAAGAGCACAGAACTCTCTGATTCTCTTTGTCACCCAGTTCTCCAGTGACCTCTGCTCATCGCATTAGGTCTTGAGGCTCCCACAAATCTTTGCCAAAAGTTCAAGCTTTCAGCAGAATTTCTCTAATAATTAGCATACCTAGAGCATGACCTGAAGGCCATGGGAGAAATGCAGGCTAGAAATAAGATAGAATCAGAGAGAGCATTTCCTTCTGTTACATCACCTGCCCAGGGAGGCCCCTCACTGGGCAAAGCCTCCCTGCAGAATAACATAATCCCACCGAGAAGGGAGTAGAGCCTGAAGCCCCCTGAGCACAGGCAGGCGCTGCCAGAGGGCAGGGTGTGTGGGAACATTACTCATTCTCTCTGCCTCCTGCAGGTCAGAGAAAAGCCATTGCCCCACAGATTTCATAGCCGCACAAACCGCACCTGCATACTTTCCCTGCCTTTTGCGGGAAGCTGGCTGCTGTATCAACAAGCCAGGCTGCAACCCTAGCTGGTTTGGTGCTGGGGATAGAGCATTGGTCTGTGGACTGAAGGGTCCTAGGTTTGATTCCAGTCAAGGGCACATGCCCATGTTGCTGGCTGGATCCCCAGTAGTGGATGTGCAGGAGGCAGCCAATCAATGACTCTCATTCATCATTGATGTTTCTATCTCTCTTTCCCTCTCCCTTCCTCTCTGAAATCAATAATAATATATTTAGAAATGTAAGCTGGGTGGGAGTGTATTATCACAAACATCCCCTGAGTCTGGGCAGCCCTGTTGGCTGGGTTGTTGCTTCTGTGGAGGGGAGCAGAGTGTACCGCCCCAAATATGCCTTTGGAGATACTGACTGTTTAAACTGTTCCTTTCAAGAAACAAAAGCCTCAGGAAGAACCCCGTCCTTCTCCCTAACTGCCTGAAAGGGATCTAGAAGAGGACCTGCTCCAGGAGGGGAGCTCAGCACAGGCATCTGTAGTTTAATAGGAACTGGATGGGAAGGACAGAGAGGACACTAGCAAGGCCCTCTGATCACAGTCCCATTGTTCAAGTTGGCCCAGCAAACATCTGTTTTCCAAGTCCATGGAAATTGTCTTCCCCCCTTTCAAGTCCCAAACCACAACTTCCCCCTCTATAGCTCTGGATGGCACCTGAGCCTCAAATGCCCAGTCTGGCCTTGATATTCTCATGGCACAATATAAATCTATACTAATAAAAAATTAATATGCAAATTGGTCACAGCGCCCTCTCAGTCATGACCAGATATGCTAATTAGTCATGACCAGTATGCAAATTGACCATCACTCCAACACACAAGATGGCCGCCCCCATGTGGCCATAAGATGGCCTGCAGGGGAGGGCAGTTAGGGGCATCCAGGCCTCCAGGTGAGGACAGTAGGGGGCAACCAGACTGGCAGGAAAGTGGTTAGGGGGTGATCAGGCTGGCAGGCAGGCGAGTGGTTAGGACCAGAAGTCCTGGATTGTGAGAGGTATGTCCCAGAAAGGAGAGGGTGCAGGCTGGGCTGAGGGAAACCACCTCCAGTGCATGAATTTCGTGCACAGGTCCTCTAGTATGTAATAAATCTCATGTGTAATAAATATGTCATGTTCAATAAAGGTGGCTGTTTGCTCCTGTTACCCTGTCTGGTGTTAATCTGATTTTAGTCTAGCCAAAAGACTTAGAAAGGTGTAAGGAAAATGTGTTTTCCACACCCACACTGTGCTTTGCTTTTCCTGGTATTAAGGGGTCCAATGGCATGGGAACATCATCAACTTCCTCATCAATAATCACAACTGCCGCCTCTTAATTTTCATCACATTCCCTGAGATTCTGCCCCTTTCCTGCCAATCAGACTTTGTCACAAGTGCTTGGACCTTAACCCGAGTGAAACCCAGAAGAAAGGTGGCAAAACCGATTTATAGGGGAAACCCAGGAACTTTCTGTTTGCAGGGCCAGGACTAGTGCGAGGTGAGGAAAGCGCTTGCCTTGGATGCAGAATGTACAGGGGGAGGGGGTGGGGAGGACATGACAATGTTACTCTTTTTAAAAAAAAAAATGTATTTTATTGATTTTTTACAGAGAGGAAGGGAGAGGGATAGAGAGTTAGAAACATCAATGAGAGAGAAACATCGATCAGCTGCCTCCTGCACACGCCCTACTGGGGATGTGCCCACAACCAAGGTACATGCCCTTGACCGGAATCGAACCTGGGACCCTTCAGACTACAGGCCGATGCTCTATCCACTGAGCTAAACCGGTTAGGGCAACAATGTTACTGCTATCATCACCCCCATTTTACAGCCCCTCCATGGAAACTGAGGCAGAGGGGACATTGCTTGCCCAGAGTCCCACAGGGAGGCTGGGCTGTTCACACACAGCCTTGGCCTCTGACCCGCAGTGCTGGTCCCGAGTTGGCCCTAAAGTTTGGAGGCTAGCACAGCGCAGCTCAAACAAGTCCTCTCACCCAGGGCTGCGTCCTTGCACCTGGGCTCCTGGTCTGGGAGAGGCTCCTGCTCATGGGATGCACAAGCTCCTTGGTGGCTCTTCAGCACGACCATCCCATCCTGGTCCTGTGGCTGCTGAGTGGCTTTAAGCCAGTGGTTCTCAATCTTCCTAATGCCGCGACCCTTTAATTCAGTTCCTCATGTTGTGGTGACCCCCAATTTCATTGTTACAAATTGAACATAATTAAAGCATAGTGATTAATCACAAAAAACAATATGTTTTTTCCAATGGTCTTAGGCGACCCCTGTGAAAGGGTCATTCGACCCCCAAAAGGGTCGCGACCCACAGGTTGAGAACTGCTCCTTCAGGTGGTCAAGGCAGAAGGATATTCCTCCTTTGACACCCTCCATGGCCCCTAGGGTCCCCTCTGAGACAGCAGCAGGGATGCTATGGGAGCTCCTGCTGGGTCACTACGGAGAGTGACAGTAAAGGCAGCCTCTTGGGAGAGACCCTGGCCCTGACACTCCCAGTCCAACACTCACCTCTCAGCCTCAGTTTCCCCAGCTGGAGACTGGACCAATGATGCTCTGCCTCTCAGGTCACAGTCCACAGGAACAAGAGGCTGGCATGCCCTAGGCTTTCAGTCACTGCAGCTGTCACCTTCAGGAACACAGGAGAAGGGCAGGGACTTACGATGGGGTGTCCTCTCCCACAGGAGCTCATGGGCCAGCACCCAGCCCAGAAGGGCCAAGCCCATAATTTGGCAGAAACAACACACCTCATTTCTGGAAAAGGAAAGTGAAAGCTAAACTGTCCTCTTCCTTCAGATGCTCCGTTTTGGACCTTTTCATTGGTCAGCATAGATCCCATGCTAATAAGGGGGCAGCTCCAGCACGTATAAAGTTCCAGCTCCCTTTCCTCACTCCCTCCCAAGCTTCCCTGCATCCCTCTCGATGGCACCCACTTCTCACCGCTACTCCCTACTGTCCATGGATGAGTCCCCAGAGAACCTGGGGGATCGCAAGCTGCCAGTGTGGGTGGGGATCCTGCTGAGCCTCCTGGTGGTAGTGGTGGTAGGACTGTCTGTGGCAGTAGGCGTTTTGGCTGCCAAGGCCAATAGCCCAGCTTGCAAGGATGGCCTCCGGGCTGAGCAGGAGTGTCGAAACATCACCCACCTCCTGGAGCAGGAGCTGACCCAGGCCCAGGAAGTCTTGCGGGGAACTGAGGCCCAAGCTGCCACTTGCAACCAGACTGTGGTAAGTCACTGCCCCTCCTAGAGAGGGCCCTGTGCTTGGGAGGACACCCAGGGTCTGGGTGTTTGGGGACCCCCAGGGTCTAGGTGGAGATGAAGATATACCTTAAAACTGCCCCTAGGTCCCTGCATGGGGAGCCTGAATTTCCCCACCAAGGTTTTCGGGAGCTCTAAACTCCCTCTGGGGTGCCAGTGTGGGACCCCAGACCACCCAATAAGGGGCCTCAGTATTCCCAGTAGCATGTGGATGAATCACCAAACTCCAGGACATTGGTCTAGGGCAGCTGGGAACTCCTCCTGGGCACAGTCTTAGGGAAGCAGAAATCCCTCTGGGGGTTGGGATGTTCACCCAATCAGACTCTGATTAAGGCAGGGCCTTTTTTTTTAAAAAAAAATTGATTTTAGAGAGAGAGGAAGGGAGAGAGTGAGAGGAACATTGAATGTTGTTCCACTAATGGATGCATTCATTGGTTGATTCTCAGTATGTGCCCTGACCAGGAATAGATCCCACAACCTTGGCATATTGGGATGATGATCTTACCAACTGAGCTACGTGGCCCTGGCAAGGCAGGGGCTCTTGATACTTCCACTGGATCCCTAAGAGGCAGCATTTTAACTGGGATCTTGATATGTGGGTCCTTGAAACTCCCACTGGACATCTAAATTGGGTTCAGAAATCCCACTGTGTTCTGGGTTTGAGGTGATGTCTAACTCTTTTTGGACAATAGCTCAGAAGATCCGGACATTTCTTCTAGGCTTTGGGCCAAGAGAGCCCCCAAATTCCTAGGGAGGGGGTACTTGAAACTCCTATTTAGTGGATCACATCCTGGGAGGGTAGAAGGCTGTGGCCATTCTTCAGGGTGGACTCAGGTTCAGAAAGGGTTAGAAGGAATTCTGAAAGGGGTTTGGGCCTGAGCCATCTGACTCCAGGGCCTGGAGAGGGGCTCAGGGCCCAAGAACAGCAGCCAAGCCCACCAGGGACAAGAACCCCAGTTTGCAACTCCCTTACTCTTCCCGGCATCCCAGGAGACCCTGATGATTTCCCTGAAAGAGAAGGCTGGGGGCCACAAGCAACAGGAGCTGGTGCAGAAGCTTCAAGGTGAGGAAAGCACAGGCCCGGTTGCAGTCAGGGAGTTTGCAGGAGCAGGTCAGGTATTGAAGAGGACGGAGGGGGAGGGCCTCTGGATTGGGGACGGGTGAGAGGGACAGGACCAAAGCCAGTGGAAGTAGGAAGGGGCGGGCATGACACACTTCCAAGGTGCACTGGCTCAATGGTGGGCTAGAAGGGGGGTCCTGTCCGGGGGTGGGGCCAGCTGAGGGGCGTGGCTACGGTGCGGACTCACTCTGTCCCTCCTTAGAGGAGATCAAGACATTGAATCAGTCTCTGCAAAATAAATCCTCGGAGCTGCAGAAGAAATCCGCGGAGCTGGAGCAACTAAGGTCAGGACACCCACCCACCCCCAGCCATGCCCCTTCCTCCTTCCAACCCCAAGACCTAGGATCCCCTTTGGCTCTGAAAATTCCCATTGCCCTGGGGACAGAGTTGGAGCCCCAGCCTTGTCCCTCCAGTCACCCAACTCTGGGTGGCAACCGGCCACTCCCCTGCCCAGTGACCTGGTGGGGAAGGAGAAGAGATTTTGAGGGGCTTCGAGCCCAGCACCAGTGCAGCCAGACCTGGCAGCCTCCTGAGGTGTCCCCATCTCCTCCTCAGAAAAGACTTCAGGATCAGCCTCAGTCTCCTCGTGGCCGTTCCGCTCCTGATCCTCCTGGGTATGCTGATCCCTTGTCTCTGCAAGCGTGCCTGCCGGTGAGAACAGCAGCCAAGCCCACCAGGGACAAGAACCCCAGTTTGCAACACCCTTACTCTTCCCGGCATCCCAGGAGACCCTGAAGATTTCCCTGAAAGAGAAGGCTGCGGGCCACAAGCAACTGGAGCTGGTGCATGTTAGGTCGGAGAGAGCCCAGGATCAGATACATACAGACATGGGATGAGACAATGGACTTCCTCTGGGATTTCTCACAGGTCAACGTGCCAGACACAGATACGTGCTTCTCCCTGAATTCACAGCGATCCCCACACAGATACTGACCCATTCCTGAATGTGCCGCCCACCCCCTGCGGCTGAGACTCCCTCAGTTGAATGTGTGATGATCCCTGCTGCGGACACTTCCTCAGTTCAGGCCCCCGCCCTCACCAAACACCTGAATAAAGGGATGTCCCTCCCTCCCTGGAGGCGCGAAATTCACTGGCCCCACCTTTTGGGCCAGTGGGTCTCGCCTGAGAACGCAAATAAACGTCTCCTTTTTCTTTCTGATTCACTCGATTCTCTTTGTTTTCCTCGCCACCGCTTTTCTGGGCCACCTAACAGTGCAGAAGCTTCAAGGTGAGAAAAACACAGGCCCCGGTTGCAGTCAGGGAGTTTGCAGGAGCAGGTCAGGTATTGAAGAGGAGGGAGGGGTAGGCCTCAGGACTGGGGTCGGGCTAGAGGGACAGGACCAAAGCCAGAGGAAGTAGGAAGGGGCGGGCATGCCACACTTCCAAGGTGCACTGGCTCAATGGTGGGCTAGAGGCGGGGTCCTGTCCGGGGGTGGGGCCAGCTGAGGGGCGTGGCTACGGTGCGGACTCACTCTGTCCCTCCTTAGAGGAGATCAAGACATTGAATCAGTCTCTGCAAAATAAATCCTCGGAGCTGCAGAAGAAATCCGAGGATCTGCAGAAGAAATCCGCGGATCTGGAGAAGAAATCCACGGATCTGCAGGACGTATATGCGTAGCTGAAGCAACTAAGGTCAGGACACCCACTCACCCCCGGCCACGCCCCTTCCTCCTTCCAACCCCAAGACCTAGGATCCCCTTTGGCTCTGAAAATTCCCATTGCCCTGGGGACAGAGTTGGAGTCCCAGCCTTGTCCCTCCAGTCACCCAACTCTGGGTGGCAACCGGCCACTCCCCTGCCCAGTGACCTGGTGGGGAAGGAGAAGAGATTTTGAGGGGCTTCGAGCTCAGCACCAGAGCAGCCAGACCTGGCAGCCTCCTGAGGTGTCCCCATCTCCACCTCAGAAAAGAGAATGCGGCCTTGGTCTCTGCCAAGTGCCCCCCCAACTCCGGGATCTGCCTCAGTCTCTCCGTGGCCGCTGTGCTCCTGATCCTCCTGGGTCTGCTGGTCCGTTATCTCTGGAAGCGTGCCTGCCGGTGAGGAGGGGGCTGGAGAGGGATGGGAGGAGTTAGGGACAGTCAGGGTCTGGGGTGGTGGCCTGCCTGCGGGGAGGGGCTGGGTGCTGGAGAGAGAGGAACCTCAGTGAGGAGCTGTGGGGCAGAAATAGAACAATGGGGACCAGCTATGTTATCCTATTAACCATGTCTGTTAACCCTGACTGTTCTCTTCTCATTAGGCACATTCTCACCTGGCTGAGAGCTGTCCACCAGGGACATGGGGATTAACCTCAGAATGCAGTCCAGGCTCCTTTTCTGAGAGTTTCCTGTCATCTTGGAAAGATGACAACCTGGTCCCACAGATGCTCTCTCCCATTCGGCCAGCAATCTAACCACAACTCCCCCTCCCTTTAGCTCTGGGTGGCACCTGTGCCTCAAATGCCCAGTCTGCCCTGTGGTTTCTCATGGCACAATATAAATCTATACTGATAGGGTAATATGCAAATTGGTCACGACACCCTCAGAGTCATGACTGGATATGCTAATTAGTTGTAACCAGTATGCAAATTGACCAGCACTCCAACACACATGATGGCCGCACCCATGTGGTCAAAGATAACTGCCCCCATGTGGCCACAAGATGGCCTGCAGGGGAGGGCAGTTAGGGCCGACCAGGCCTCCAGGGGAGGACAGTTAGGGGTGGCCGAGCCTGCAGGGGAAGGCTGTTAGGGGCAACCAGGCCTGCAGGGGAGTACCTTTGGAGGGGACCTGGCCTATAGGGGAGGACCTTTGGAGGGGACCTGGCCTACAGGGGAGGGCAGTTGGGGGTGATCGGGCTGTTAGGGGCAATTGGGCCAGCAGGGGAACAGTTAGGCGTCGATCAGGCGGGCAGGGGAGTGGTTAGAGGTTGATCAGGCTGGCAGGCAGAAGTGATTAGGAGCAATCAGGCAGGCAGGCAGGCTAGCGGTTGGGAGCCAACAGTCCTGGATTGTGAAAGGGATGTCCCAGATTGGAGAGGGTGCGCAGGCTGGGCTGAGGGACACCTCCCTCCCCCCTGAGTGCACAAATTTCGTGCACCAGGACCCTAGTATGTAATAAAGCGGTCATGTGTAATAAATATGTCATGTGCAACAAAGCTGGCTGTTTGCTCCTGTTAACCTTTCAGGTGTTAATATGATTATTAATCTAGCCAGAAGAATTTAGAACATTGGGAGGAAAATGTGTTTTCCACCCCCACACTGTGCTTTGCTCTTCCTGCTATTAAGGGGTCCAATGGCATGGGAGCATCATCAACTTCCTTATCAAAGCTCACAACACCTGCCTCTTCACGCTCATCACTTCCCCTGAGATTCTACCCCTTCGCTGCCAAACAGACTTTGTCACAAGTGCTTGGACCTTAACCTGAGAGAAACCCAGAAAAATGGTGGCATAACAGCTTTATAGGGAAAACCCACGAACTTTCTGTTTGCAGGGCCAGGACTAGTGCGAGGTGAGGAAGGCACTTGCCTTGGGTGCAACATTTAGGGGGGCACGGAAATGTTACCGCTATCATCACCCCACTTTATAGCTCCATGGAAACTGAGGCAGAGGGGACATTGCTTGCCCAGAGTCCCACAGGGAGGCAGGGCTGTTCACACACAGCCTTGGCCTCTGACCCGCAGTGCTGGTCCCGAGTTGGCCCTAAAGTTTGGAGGCTAGCACAACGCAGCTCAAACAAGTCCTCTCACCCAGGGCTGCGTCCTTGCACCTGGGGTCCTGGTCTGGGAGAGAGGCTCCTGCTCATGGGATGCACAAGCTCCTTGGTGGCTCTTCAGCCAGACCATCCCCATCCTGGTCCTGTGGCTGCTGAGTGGCTTTAAGCCAGTGGTTCTCAATCTTCCTAATGCTGCCACCCTTTAATTCAGTTCCTCATGTTGTGGTGACCCCCAATTTCATTGTTACAAATTGAACATAATTAAAGCATAGTGATTAATCACAAAAACAATATGTATTTTCCAATGGTCTTAGGCAACCCCTGTGAAAGGGTCATTCGACCCCCAAAAGGGTCGTGACCCACAGGTTGAGAACTGCTCCTTCAGGTGGTCAAGGCAGAAGTATATTCCTCCTTTGACACCCTCCATGGCCCCTAGGGTCCCCTCTGAGACAGCAGCAGTGATGCTATGGGAGCTCCTGCTGGGTCACTATGGACAGTGACACCAAAGCCAGCCTCTTGGGTGAGACCCTGGCCCTGACACTCCCAGTCCACCACTCACCTCTCAGCCTCAGTTTCCCCAGCTGGGGACTGGACCAATGATGCTCTGCCTCTCAGGTCACAGTCCACAGGAACAGGAGCCTGGCATGCCTTAGGCTTTCTGTCACTGCAGCTATCACCTTCAGGAACACAGGAGAAGGGCAGGGACTTATGATGGGATGTCCTCTCCCACAGGAGCTCATGGGCCAGCACCCAGCCCAGAAGGGTCAAGCCCATAATTTGGTGGCAGTAATACTCCTCATTTCTGGGAAATGAAAGTGAAAGCTAAACTGTCCTCCACCTGCAGATGCCCGGTTTTGGACCTTTTCATTGGTCAGCATAGATCCCATGCTAATAAGGGGGCAGCTCCAGCAAGTAGAAAGTTCCAGCTTCCTTTCCTGACTCCCTCCTGGGCTCCCCTGCGTCCCGCTTGATGGCACCCACTTCTTACAGCTACTCCCGACTGCCCAGGGATGAGTTCCCAGAGAACCTGGGGGACCGCAAGCTGCCAGTGTGGGTGGGGATCCTGCTGGGCCTACTGGTGGTAGGTCTGTCTGTGGCAGTAGGCGTTTTGGCTGCCAAGGCCAATAGCCCAGCTTGCAAGGATGGCCTCCGGGCTGAGCAGGAGTGTCGCAACATCACCCACCTCCTGGAGCAGGAGCTGACCCAGGCCCAGGAAGTCTTGCGGGGAACTGAGGCCCAAGCTGCCACTTGCAACCAGACTGTGGTAAGTCACTGCCCCTCCTACAGAGGGCCCTGTGCTTGGGGGACTCCCAGGGTCTGGGTGCTTGGGGATCCCCAGGGTCTAGGTGGAGATCCAGATAGACCTTGAAACTGCCCCTAGGCCCCTGCATGGGGAGCCTGAATTTCCCCACCAGGGTTTTGGGGAGCTCTAAACTCCCTCTGGGGTGCCAGTGTGGGACCCCAGACCACCCAATAAGGGGCCTCAGTATTCCCAGTAGGATGTGGGTGAATCTCCAAACTCCAGGACATTGGTCTAGGGCAGCTGGGAACTCCCCCTGGGCACAGGCTCAGGGAGCAGAAATCCCTCTGGGGGTTGGGATGGGGACCCCACCAGACTCTGAAGAAGGCAGGGCCTTTTTATTTTTTTTTCATTTCTATTTGTTGATTTTAGAGAGAGAGGAAGGGAGAGAGCAAGAGGAACATTGATTTGTTGTTCCACTCATGGATGCATTCATTGGTTGATTCTCAGTATGTGCCCTGACCAGGAATAGATCCCACAACCTTGGCATATTGGAATGATGATCTAACCAACTGAGCTACCTGGCCAGGGCAAGGCAGGGGCTCTTGATACTTCCACCGCATCCCTGAGAGGCAGCATTTTAACTGGGGTCTTGATGTGGGGGTCCTTGAAACTCCCACTGGACATCTAAATTGGGTTCAGAAATCCCACTGTGTTCTGGGTTTGAGGTGATCTCTAACTCTTCTTGGACAATAGCCCAGGGGATCTGGACATTTCTCCTAGGCTTTGGGCCAAGAGAGCCCCCCAATTCCTACAGGGAAGGGGGGAGCTTGAAACCCCCCTTTTAAGGATCACATCTGGGAGGGTGGGAGGCTGTGGCCATTATTCAGGGTGGAGACAGGTTCAGAGAGGGTTGGCAGGAATCCTGAAAGGGGTTTGGGCCTGAACCCTCTGACTCCAGGGCCTGGAGAGGGGGTCAGGGCCCAGGGACAGCAGCCAACCCCACCAGGGACAAGAACCCCACTTTGCAACTTCCTACTCTTCCCGGGCATCCCAGGACACCCTGAAGATTTCCCTGAAAGAGAAGGCTGGGGGCCACAAGCAACTGGAGCTGGTGCAGAAGCTTCAAGGTGAGAAAAACACAGTCCTGGTTGCAGTCAGGGAGTTTGCAGGAGCAGGTCAGGTATTGAAGAGGAGGGAGGGGGAGGGCCTCTGGGTTGGGGTGGGGCGAGAGGGACAGGACCAAACCCAGTGGAAGTTGAAGGGGCAGGTAAGCCAGACTTCCAAGGTGCACTAGGTCCAATGGAGACGGGCTAAAGGCGGGTCCTGTCCCGGGGTGGGGCCAGCTGAGGGGCGTGGCTATAGTACGGACTCACTCTGTCCCTCCTTAGAGGAGATCAAGACATTGAATCAGTTGCTGCAGAAGAAATCCGCGGAGCTGGAGCAACTAAGGTCAGGACACCCACCCACCCCCAGCCATGCCCCTTCCTCCTTCCAACCCCAAGACCTAGGATCCCCTTTGGCTCTGAAAATTCCCATTGTCCTGGGGACAGAGTTGGAGCCCCAGGCTGGTCCCTCCAGTCACCCAACTCTGGGTGGCAACCGGCCACTCCCCTGCCCAGTGGCCTGGTGGGGAAGGAGAAGAGATTTTGAGGGGCTTCCAGCCCAGCACCAGTGCAGCCAGACCTGGCAGCCTCCTGAGATGTCCCCATCTCCTCCTCAGAAAAGATAATGAGGCCTTGGTCTTCGGCAAGGGCCCCCCCAACGCCAAGAGCCCCCCCAATGCCAAGGGCCCCACCAACTCCGGGATCAGCCTCAGTCTCTCCTTGGCCACCGTGCTCCTGCCCCTGAGCCTCCTGGCTCTGCTGGCCTGAGGTCCCAGGAAGCCTGCAGGTGAGGAGGGGGCTGGAGAGGGATGGGAGGAGTTAGGGACAGTCAGGGTCTGGGGTGGTGGCCTGCCTGGGGGGAGGGGGCTGGGCGCTGGAGAGAGAGGAATCCCAGTGAGGAGCTGTGGGGCAGAAACAGAACAGTGGGGACCAGCTATGTTATCCTATTAACCCTGTCTGTTAACCCTGACTGTTCCCTTCTGATTAGGCACATTCTCACCTGGCTGAGAGCTGTTTGCCCAGGGACATGGGGCTTAACCTCAGAATGCAGTCCAGGCTGCTTTTCTGGGAGTTTCCTGTCATCTTGGAAAGATAACAGCCTGGCCCCAGAGGAGCTCTCTCCCATTCGGCCGGCAATCCATCCTAATAAACTTTCGTAGGGCTCAACCCTGTCTCTGCTTAATAATTGACTCAAGGAGGGACAGGCACCCATCTGCGCGGGTTTCATAGGGAGGGGTCCAGGCAGGAGTGGGTGAGGCTCATGGAGGGGTTGGGCGAGTTCTGCCTGACTCAGCCTTGTTGTCTCTTAGGCCACCACCTGGACTGGCCAGTTTCCCTCTGGTTTCCCTGACCTGGCAGTTCTGAGGGGCACATGGCTGTGGGGAGGGGAAGGTGAGGGGGAGACCGGGGGCCAGGTGGCAGGGGGTGGTTCATGGGGCAGCCTTAGAGGTGGGGAAGCATCAAAGTTGGCCCAAGACTGCCATCTCCCCGCCCCCAGCCCCCACCTCCAAGCCTGGCAGGTCATGAAGTGGGAGGGGGCATCTGTTCTTTGCTGTCATGGTTTCGGGAAGGTAACTTCTTCTGGGGTCTTTGGGTTCCACAAAATAAGCATCCCCTTTGGGGGAAGGAACTTACTCTGTAGTTCCTGGAAGATCACTGTGTCGGTCCCAAGCACCTGGGACCCCTTGATGTCTACACCAGCCTCCTTGCTCCAGAATGTTCCCAGAGCCCACAGGGTTTGGTCAGGTACCACCCCACTGCCTACCCAGCCCTCTTTTCTGATGGATTCACCCTAAAGGACTGTCCACCCTTCCCCCACCCCCATCGGTGCTACTCAGTGCTCAGCATTCTAGTCTTGTCTCCTCACCCAGCTCCTGAGGCTCTTGTTCCCCATCCCTTTCCATGGAAAGGGAGGCTGTGAGGAGAAGGACATCTTGTCTTGGTTCCCCATCCCCTCCCATGGAAAGTGTAGGGCTGGCCCAGTGGGTGTGGCTCAGTGGGTTGTGCATCTTCCCAAGCACCAAAAGGCTGCCAGTTCAATTCCTGGTCAAGGCACAGGCCTGGGTTGCAGGCTCCTTCCCGGGTAGGGGGCATGCAGGATTCAGCCAATCCATGTTTTGCTCTCACACAGATGTTTCTCTCTCTTTCCCTCTCCCTTCCCCTCTTCCCTCCTCTCTTTCTAAAAAGCAGTTAAGCCGTAACCGGTTTGGCTCAGTGGATAGAGCGTCGCCTGTGGACTGAAAGGTCCCAGGTTCGATTCCGGTCAAGGGCATGTACCTTGTTTCCCGGCACATCCCCAGTGGGTGGTGTGCAGGAGGCAGCTGATCGATGTTTCTCTCTCATCGATGTTTCTAACTCTCTATCCCTCTCCCTTCCTCTCTGTAAAAAAATCAATTAAATATATTTTAAAAAATAAAAATAAAAATCAGTTAAGCCCTGGCTGGGTAGCTCAGTTGTGGGAGTGTCCTCCTGGTATGCCAAGGTCACAGTTCAACCCTCAGTAAAGGCACACACAAGGGTCATTCAGTGAGAGCATGAATAAGTGAAGACAACAAAATGATGTTTCCCCTCCCCTCCCTCTTCTCTAAAAGCAATCAATCAATTTAATAAAATAACAGCAGAAAGTGTGGGGCTGGGATTCACACCTGGATCTGCAGACACACCCAGGCCAGCGCTATTAGTCACAATGTACCTCCGTCCTCCATCCCCCAAATTCTTATTCATCCTGCAGAGCCCACCCCCAGAGAGTCTGCTTCTCCAAAATGAGGCCACCATCCTGAGAGACCCTTCACCCACTCTCCTGGGTCCTCACATGCCCCCTAATTCTTTCCTCTCTCTTATCTTACTTCCTCCAACTTCTAGAATCCCGACTATTGTCCATGAAACTTCCTGTGCATGGCACTGGGGTCAGGACCCCTGTGTCTGCCCGAAATTCTGCACTAGCCCTCAGGTCCCGCAGTCCCCAGATGAGGTGGTCAACCACCCAGGGACCCCCAAACACCATCCCTGCCACAGGCTCCCCTGGCCCTTCTGTCCCCTCCCTTGCCCTGTTCACAACTGCCCACCCTCCCAGACCATTTCTCTGTGCAGGGACCTTGTCAATTTCCTTCCTGCCTCACTCTGACATTCTAGGGCAGGTTTCTCCACCTCTGCACTGTTGACATTTGAACTGGAGTGCTCTCTGTGGTGGGGGCTGCCCTGAATGGGTAGGAAGTCATGGTATCCCTGGCCTCCCCCCACCTGGTGCCAGACCCTCCTACCCCCAGGTTGTGACAGGAACTGCCTTCAGATATTATCAAGTGTCCCCTGGGGGTCAGAATCATATGCTGTGAGAACCTCTGCTGGAGAGGGCCAGGCTGGGGCACCCCTCCCCCTTCTGTGTCCCCAGCCTGCAGGAGGGCTCAGTGGGAGCCCTCAAGGTCCCTTTGCTATGACTGAGTCATGTCACTCCCCACCAACCTCATGTAGCAAATGAGGAAACAGGTCCAGAGAAGTCTCTGCACTTGCTCAGGGCTCTCAGCTTCTCAGGTGATTGGACCCTTGACTTCAGCAAGTTCCCTTGATTTCCAGGAAGCAAACCCTTCCACGGGGCCACATGACCTCATCACTTCGCCACCTCCCTCCTCCACTCCCACTCCCAGCTGGGGCTACCAGAATGTTCCAAAACAGTGTCGCCGGCCCCAAAGCCCAACAAGATGAATTTGACTTGTTCAATGTCTCCCCGCTGAACCCTGACACAATGGCCCAATTATACACTTTTCTCCTTCCTAAAAATGCCCACTTCCCCTCCTGGCTGTGGCCAACTGAGCCAGGGGTTGAGAAGTCAGGACTCATGTCCTGCAGGTCTGTAGGGGTTCCAAGTCCCACAGGAATCTGGCAGCAACCAGCGGCTGCTGTATGTTCCTGGCCTGAGGCTTG